TTATCAAGACACTCAAAGCGCTTTACAACACAATCTGTGCCTCATTTACCCATTCATACAGCACTCTACTACTGTATATTGCTACAAAGCTAATTGAACAAATCATTGTAAAGAGACTAGTCAGTGCTTTATCACATTCATACACTGATGGGACACACATCGGCGGCAATGAGGGGTTCAGTGTCTTGCCCAGGGACACTTCGGCATGTGACTGCTGGTGGATTCGAACCCTCAACTCTTGCACTGGAGGACGACTGCTCTAACCAATCAGCCACAGCCTCACCAGATGAATTAAAGTAGTGAGAGGTCTGGACTGCAGGAAGGCCAACTTAGCACCCTGACCGTTCTTCTATGAAGCCATGCTGTTGTAATGGATGCTGTGAGCTTTTCAGCATTGTCTTGAAGAAATATGCAATGCCTTCCCTGAAATAGCATGTTACTCTAAAGCACGTGTCAAACTCCAGGCCCAGGGGCCAAATATGGCCCTTGTTAACATCTTATCTGGACCTCAAAATTATATCTTAGAAGTAAAATACTTTTGTCACTTCTCATTTTACTTTAAAACTGAGCATACTATATGTAGCACAGACTTCTCAAGACAACTGAACAACTCTGAAGCCAAGAAACGTAGTTTGAATTTTACCCTAATCTTTGATTCTGGGCAGCACGGTGGCGCAACTGGTAGAGCTGCTGCCTCTCAGCGAGCAGGTCCTTGGTTCAAACCCCGGTCCAGGGGCCTTTCTGGGTGGAGTTTGCATGTTCTCTCCTTGCATGCGTGGGTTTTCTCCAGGTGCTCCGGTTTCCTCCTACAGACCAAAAACATGCATATTAGGCTGATTGGTAACTCTAAATTGTCCCTAGGTGTGAATGAGCAAGTGAATGGTTGTTTGTCTCGTTTGTCTCTATGTGTCCCTGTGATGGACTTGCGACCCGTCCAGGGTGTACCCCGCCCCTCGCACAGTGATTGCTGGACATGGGCACCAGCGACCCCCGTGACCCAAAATGGAATAAGCGGGTAAAGATAATGGATGGATGGATGGATCTTTGATTCTGATGTGGTAAAAGCAGCAGAGAACATCAAATGGGACCATTAAACTCTTGAGGAGCCTGCATCCAAGAAAAGATGTCAGGTGTCTGACTGTAGGTAACATTTTGACCGAAACTCGGCCGTGGTTTGAAATTAATGTTTAATTTTAGCCCCCTTTTGCATATGAGTTTGACACCCCTGCGAAGCTGCCCATGCCAGAGTCACTAATGCACCTCCATACCATCAGAGAAGCAGGCTCTTGAACTGTGTGCTGAGAACCGGTTGGACGGTTCCTCTCCTCTGAACAGAGTACATGGTTTAAAAAAAAATTGCATGATCTGATAAAAAAAAGACACCTCCTAATAAAACACATGCATGATTTTATCAGCAGCTAAATGTAAAATGTGTTTTTTCTTTCTTCTAAATTTCTCATTTTTGAAGTCTCTGATTTGAACACAAAGCTTTTGAAGCTGGGCAAACAGCTTCAGTGAATTATTGTCTTTCTTTCCGTCGTTGTGTTGTTTAAATGAACTCTTTAAAAGAAGAGGAGTGTTGGTATTTTGTCCCTGATGTATAGAAACCTCAGGTATGAGTTGTTTCCCCTCCTCCTATATGTAAGTGCTTCCTTGTGTCCACAGGTGTGTATTTTGTGGGGGTGTTTACAGTAAAATGTCAATTAGAGGAGCAACCCTTTTTATGTCTGTTCTTTGATTTATTTTTTTTAACCCTCATTTCCTCCTCTTAGCTCCCGTATTATTACTGCTCTGGAATGGCCTGACTGAAAGCTGAGGGTTTAAATCCGTGTCAAACATGCTTCTCAGTCTCACTTCCTCTACGACACCCCCCCCCCCCCCCCCCCCCCACCCCTCGCCCCCTCAATTGGCACTCTAAGTTCAAACCTGCCCGGTGCCAGAACAGGGATCTGGTAACGTTGGGCAGTGTGAGTTTGTGTGAATTTCAGCAAACAAGTTGTGCTCTGTGGCGGGCGCCCAGACGCCACTAACAAAGCGTCTCATTGATTGTTTTCAGGGGAAAAGCCGCCGCTTGTTTCTCGCAGTACGTCTGTTTGGATTAAGCCCGTTCTGTGTTTTCTCTTCAGGCTACAGTAGACAAAATGTTTGTGGCCTCTCAACATGACCTTAAAGTGAACTTATGGTTCTTTGGAAAGGGAAAGATGAAAGCTTCCTGTTTAAATTAAAGCTTGTTTATGTGAATAAAGCAGCGGACATCATGTGGTTATCCTGTAATTATTTTATTATCGCCTTAAGAACATCTGAAGGTGGGAAAGTTACATTTGACTTCACAGATGCTTAAAATACAAAACATTTCATTTGAATATACCCCAAACAGTTCATGCTTCTTTTTCTTCTTCTTTTTATAGAGTTCATAGTAACAGAATAACCGAAAGGCTAATAATTATTTTATTTTAAATCGTTTAAGGAGGATTCTAGTGGCCTTAGCGTTATTATCGTTGCACCAAAAATAGTTATGACTCAGTCATACGTGAGCTTAAATTTGGTATGGTAGTAGCTGAATCACATCCCTAACACATACTCGTAAAACTTTGGGTTAAATACGGATTTAACTTTAAGAATCAACCTGATTAAAGATAGCTCACACAGCTAATTAACCTTATCAAACGCAAATATTGTTATAAATCAGCCGGTTTTACAAATATTGAGTTAGATTTCAGTGTGGTAGTAGCTGAGATTCATCCCAATCACACACTTTGAGCTCCCACTGATTGTGTTAGTTGTTTTTGTCCTTAGAAAATCGACAGGTCTGCAGCAATTTGGACTTTTTTAATACGCATTATAGTTTAGTTCAGTTTACTTTATTTATTTCAATCATGGTAGGAACAAAAGGACAAATCCACCACTAAGAACAAATGATAATGAGAATTAAACAATCACAACACAAAAAATACATTTTAAAATTAGCACTTTATTTGGATTAGAACAACTCAACTTTATGTTTGAAATGAAGTAGGAAGAATACATAGGGAAGTATACATTTTTTTTTTAATTCTTTAAATCACCATTGTCATTGCTTTATCTATGATTAGCTGTTATATAATATATAAACATTTCTTCCACCATATTAACACATAATGCACATCACACACACACACACACACATACATATAGCAGGTAGACACACACCTGACCTGTAAGTTAATCAGTCCCTTCTCAGGTAAATCCAGTTACCGAATTTTCAGGCATATAAATTGCACCTTTTTGCCTAATTTGCATGCCCCGCGACTTATATCAGTTTTTGGCACAACACCGGCCCACATGTCCAGGTTGTCAGTGGTGATGCGTAACAAACGTGACGCGTCAGCGGTGATGCATAATAGGTGCGACTTATACGGCAAAGCCACTTATTTATGGATTTTTCTAAATTATTTGGCATTTTTGGACCGATGCAACTTGTACTCCCGTGTGACTTATAGGCCGAAAAATACGGTAATTGTATTTAAATCTTTTTTAACTGGATGACATTTGTATATTTTTGTATTTCCACATTCAGTCTTTTCCAAAGTTTCACTCCTCCACACATATAAATGCAAAAGATTTTGTTTTTCTGGCACTTAAGACTAAACTAGTATAAATATAGTAACTAAAACTGTGATGAGCTGTTTCCTCTGCGTACAGGGCTCTTTGTTTCTGGGCAGAAAGTCAAACGATGCAGGTTAATTGTAGGTCTTCGAACAATCTTACCCCATGCTGTGGGCTGTGGGCTTGTTAACTTCACTTCCGCTTTGACTGAGACAGTGCAATCTTCATCACAATGTTCCTCCTCAGTGGGCAGAACCCGGACTGCTTCTGTCAGATACATTCAGCTGATACCCTGAAACGGTTCAGTCATATTTTAATAGGTTCAGAGGAAGAACGAAGCATAGACGCCTGTTTGTCACGCAGGCCCTGACTTAAAGCAACACGTTAAAACAGTTGTTTAGGTTTTATGTGCCAGCATGTTGTTTGTAACCAGGATCAGATTTGGTGAATTAACGACTCACACGCGAGTTAATGTATTTTATTTTATGTACAACAGAACAATAGATAGCTGTACAATAGAGGGATGCATACAGTTGATGTATGCTTTCACAGCCAGAGAATCGAGGATAAAGCACAGTTTGGGTTAGAGAGCAGGGATTGGCTGAGCTGGGAAACGCATCTAAAGGGGTTTATAGTGGAGCAGAATCTCAGCTTCCGGACAAAGAAAGCAAAGATGAGCTGTGAATGCAGGCGTGAAGTTTCTGATTACAGAGTTGGACTATACTGAAAGACTTGTTTTCTCCTGGCACACATCCGTTATCTGTTCTGGCAAAATGCTTAACAAAAAACACCCGTTTGAGCCAAGGAGACGAGACAAAGGCCGCTATCGTCGTTTTCTTCCATGTGTGGCTCACTGAGCAGCAGCTGTTTTAACGCGTCAACCATTAAGTCACAGCTGTGAGTCAGAGTTCCACTTTTTCAAGATTTAAGCCGCTCAGAACAGGAAAACGCACACAAGTCCTGTTTATATTAAATTAAAAACTAGGAAATGCCTGTCACCCACTGCCTTTATTAGACTAACACCGTCTTATGTTGATAAATGAGCAGTTTTGGTCAAACCTTACATTTCAGTCTCAAGCTGTGGTGTCTCATGTGATCTTACACAACCTGTTAGCACCTGGAGGATGAGTTGAGAATGACTCTCAGCTACTACCACCCCATATTTAAGCTCATTATCTGAAGTATAGCTATACTGGTCAAGGTCAGTTAGCTGAGGCAGACATCTTGAATTGTGTTGACTCCCAAAGTTAATCAGCTGTGGGGTTAAACTCAATAATTCCTGAAAGTCTCTTTAAAATCCATCCAGCGGTATTGGGTATTTTGCTAACAGACAGACTCAGACACAGGCAAAAACGAGTTCTTAACAATTCCTATTAGCTTTGTTTTTAATCTCTGGCGCCTCGTCTCTCTTTCAGATGGCATCCACTCCGTGTCTGCTCAGTGCCTCCTCCAAGTCACCATCATCACCGACGAGATGCTGTCCAACAGCATCACCTTACGTCTGGCCAACACCTCCCAGGAACACTTCCTGTCCCTGCTGCTCGCTCAGTTCCTGGATGGCGTGGCTCGGGTCTTGTCGGCTGCGCCCCAAGACGTCGTCATCTTCAATATCCAGGACGATACAGATGTCAGCGCTCGCATCCTCAACGTCAGCTTGTCTGTGGCGGTGCCCGCCTTCGGAGAGGGACACCATCGTCCCACAAGTCTCAGTACTGACAGACCCGGGAGAGGACCTGAATCTGGGGAGTTTTTTGGCTCAGAGGAACTCCAGGAGAGGCTGTATCTGAACCGCAGCCTTCTGGCTGAGATCTCCTCCCAGGAAGTGCTTCCCTTTGATGACAACATCTGCCTGCGTGAGCCGTGTGAGAACTACATGAAGTGTGTGTCGGTCCTAAAGTTTGACAGCCTGGCCCCGTTTGTGGCGTCTGACACCATCCTGTTTAGACCCATCCACCCCATCGCTGGGCTGCGTTGCCGCTGTCCCACTGGTTTTACAGGAGACTACTGCGAGACAGAGATCGATCTGTGCTACTCTAAACCGTGTGGAGTCAACGGTGTTTGTCGCAGCAGGGAGGGAGGCTTCACCTGTGAGTGCTTCCAGGAATATACAGGTAGGAGCCTCGAAGCTTACATGTTCTGCAGCGTTTGTCTTTTTTTCATTGAAGGCCTAATTTAAAGAGATACTTCTGCTTGTTTATGGTGGTGTTGTGTGGAGTAGAGCAGTTAGTATCTTACCTGCAGTTAGCAGGGGCTTTTTGAAGAGTATATTTCTGCCATCTAACACACGTTCCCAGCTTATAAAGCTAATGTTTTGTTAAGGATTTTTTTACACTGTCTTTTATGAACCAGATAGTTGTTTATGGGAGCACATTCATCCGATTCTGGTGGAAAAATGACAGGAAGCTGCAAAGTTGCACTGCATTCATAGTAACAGATTCTGTTAAAAGGAGAGGGATGAAAAGCCACGTCTGGCTCCAGAGCCGCAGGTTGCAGACCTCAGAAATTTACTCATAAACATTTCCTGCTCTCAACTAGCTCGACTCCTTCATTATTTGTGAATTCCTCCCTGATTCTCTGAACTGAGATCACTCTGACTGTCATCTGCTGCAGGTAACACACTGACTGCTCAGCACTGGTTCACAACACTGCTTTAAAAACAGAAAACTGCCCCTTTAATAACGTCCTTGATTAATCCTTTGTACTCAGATGGGTGACAATTTACAGCAAATATGGATGTTATTTTTATGGCCTTTGTTTTTTTTTGTATGAGGATATAAAGTCTCTTTATTCTCTTAGGACGTTACAGAAGGTCAAGAGGTTTTTCCTGGTCTGGTTTTCCTGGTTTTCTTGCCTGTACTCAGGTGTTGTGTACCTGAAGGTCTCGAGCCACCACCAAATGTTGATTACTCCTCCTCCACTGAAGTCCAGCTGTAATGTCACTGGTCTTGTTCTCAGCCACTTATTGATCCTGGTTGATTTTTAATGACAAGTGTCCACTTCACTGACGTTCATCTCAGCAAAGAAAACTGAGAGATGGTTCTTTTGTACTGGTAGTCTGTCACATATGCCTGCATATCTGTGGATGTAAGAGGTTATTTGTCTCCACTGCAGGTAAATGATTGTATCTGACAGAGCTCAAATCATGTATTTTAACTAATGAAAATGTGTTTAGGTAAAAACAAATCTCTTATGTTCACTGAAAGCCCTGCATGCTGCTTACAGTTCATGTTTCATTCAGAAGCTCAGGAGAAGACGGTGTTTCATAATAAAACATGATGATCATACAAACTCCATCTTTACTTTGATTGGAGCCTTTTAGAAAGAGCTCTAAGACAAAAGAACCTCTGCTTCTGTTCAGACAATTCCTGGAAAATAAAACAAAGGTTGAGGATTTTTTATTTATTTATAGATGGCTTGTGTAATAAATGCCTTGTGGGGAAAAACTAAGATTAAAAAGATATAAAGTAAGTCTGAGTTCACAGCAGCTTCCGTTAGAGCTTTATTATTAAGAGGATGAAAAAGTCCAAATTATCTGCAAGCTTTTTTATTTATTCAGATCTTCAAAGGGTGAAAGATCATCTGTTCTAGTTTATGGTTAAAGGAAAGAGAAAAGCTGATATAAGTTTAAATTACAACCCTTCAAATATGCTAATTTATGCAATATGGACATTAAGGTAGTTGCTCATCTTTTTGTCGAGAGGTTAAGGGTCAAAGCCTGACTTTTAATGAGATTCAGGGATTTATGTCCAGTGATTAGTTTTTTTGATCCAAGTAAAAAGAATATGATCCCAGCGTGTGCGTCACACATATGACCTACATCATGTAGTCAAAGATTCTCAGCCCACAATCTTCGGTCGTCCTCACACCGCAGGTTTAATGCTCAGTTTCAGTTGTTTGCTGAGATCTGAATTTTTGCATGGTTGTTCACATAAAAATTAAAACGCGACTGCAGTAAGACGCCAGTGTGAACAGTCTATGACCCCAAAGTGACCCACATGTGCAGGACCAGGCTTGATGTCACGCAGAGCACGTTGTGTTTACAATGTTAATATGGATGCTACACCTGTCAGCACGTCTCGATTCTGAATCTGGTGTGAATCACAGCATCCAGAGTTTTTATCTGCCACGCTCGTCTTGTCCAGTGTTTACAATCGATCCTGTCTACCCGTGCAACAGGAAAAACTGGTCCAGATGTAGTGTCTATGGTCCAGGTCTAGGATCTATGATCCAGGTTTAGTGTCTATGGTCCAGATGTAGTCTATATGTTCCAGGTATAGTTACTTTGAGAAGAAAGACAAAGAAAATTATGTTGATTCTCAAAATGTTACAAATAAAAACATGAACAATAGCGCAAGCAAAGACAGCAGCAGAGTGAGGACATGTGGTCAGTTTGTCCTCCTGCAGTCAAAGTCTGTACCAGAAGAACTAACAGATAGCTCCAGAAACCCAAGCCAACCCTAACTATAGGATTTATACAAAAGGAAAGTCTTAAACCTAGTCTTAAAAGTAGACAGAGTCTTAGCCTGATAGAAACTGGAATTTGGTTCCACTAGAGAGGAGCCTATGGGCACCAGTGACCCCCGTGGCCTGAAAAGTAAGAAGCAGGTAAAAGATAATGGATGGATGGATGGATGGATGGATGGATGGATGGATGGATGGATGGATGGATGGATGGATGGATGGATGGATGGATGGATGGATGGATGGATGGATGGATGGATGGATTGATTGATTGATTGATTGATTGATTGATTGATTGATTGATTGATTGATTGATTGATTGATTGATTGATTGATTGATTG